CCTAAAAGTGACCCGATCATGCTGATTTTCGAACTTGACCTGCGTATTATGAATATTCATCAGTTCTGTAAGTTTCAAGTCAAAAGGTAAAATGGTTTTCCACTTATCGTGTTATCGGTGCTGCATATATGCTGAAAAAAGTGAAAAAACAGCATAAATTCCCTAAAAGTGACCCGATCATGCTGATTTTCGAACTTGACCTGCGTATTATGAATATTCATCAGTTCTGCAAGTTTCAAGTCAAAAGGTAAAATGGTTTTCCACTTATCGTGTTATCGGTAAAAGTGCACGGCGACGGCGACGGCGACGACAGCGACGACGGCGACGACAGCGACGACGGCGACGGCGACGACAGACGCAGATGATGGCTATATGTACAGACACATCTGTGTCTGTACATAAAAAACGAAAGTGATACGTACAAAGGTTTGTCTCCATGTTCATTCACACTCTCCAAATCGCACCCATAGTTTAAGAACAGCTCAGCAATGTCTATGCTCCCAGAGAAAGCTGCCCAGTGCAGTGCTATGTTCTCTTCCTGAAATAAATCAAGGGAGTCAGTTATGTCACCAAGTCGGCCTTTCTTTTAACCTAACGGAATATTTTGAATTTCATTTTTACTCTTCGACTACGTGATAGATTCTAGCTTAAACCAACTATGCTCAAGAGAGTTGAAGTTTTAGATAAAATTTGACAGAAATTCCTAAAATAAATATAGTTCTTCCAAGATAAAATCTATTTCAGAACATACTGTCAAACAAGGCCAATACCATGCACTTCAGAATGGCACCATCAATTCTCTTATCATATAACTACAATAACCAAAAGCACATTCATCATCAACATAATGAAAACTTAAACCACTACTGGTCATCAAATTATGAGAACCTTAGTGACTGGTCACTTACATTGTCCCTCATGTTAGGGTCAGCTCCATGATCCAGCATGTATTTGACAGTTTCAACATGGCTGTGCTCCGAGGCCCAAACTATTGGGGACCAGCCACCGTCATCCTGATAACAAAAAGGAAGAAAAGAAATAAATATACAAATAAATACAATCAGGCTGGCAATTTTAGTACTTAGGAATAATTCTTGTAAGAAAAATTACTTTCCCTTTCATGGTGACAATGAGGGAAGGGGTACAGCTATGGCAATGGTATTGGCAACAGCTACAACAGACACAGGTGATGGCTTTATGTCACACAGTGTCTGTCCATAAAAACAGGGAGAATACAAATAAATATGAGAAAACCAACCTCTGCTGATGTAAGGGGCAATTTCCAATTCAAATCAGTTTTTTTTATTAATTCCTTAAAGAAACTGTGCTCAAAATCTTTCTGTTAAGGTACCCAAGTTTATGTGTGATTCCTCAGTGTCTTATAATTTCCAATCATATCAAAGATATGAAAGATATTTAAGTTAGAAAGTCCTTTCACATACCTTGACATTGATGTCTACCTGGTCAACAGTTAACAAGTACTTGATGGACTCTAAGTGACCAGACCTGGCCGCAACATGGAGACAGGTCATACCATCCTCACCCTGTATTGAAAATAAGAATTATTATTATTATTATTAGGGTCATTTTATTTAACTTGTAAAGTAACTCACATTTGCCAATTTTCTAAATATGTTTTTTAGTTCATTTTCTTGGAGTCTTAAATTGTAGTGAGAGCTGCTGTAATTTGTTCTACAAAACATTTCATATACAATATGGAAATGAGTACATGTGTGATGAGTGCCTTGCACTATTTGCAACAGTGTACATAGTACATACATGTGTCTAGTTTATTATCATACTCATCCATTCTGCTAAGATAACAGGAACTATATAAAGCACAGATTAGATTCCAAGTTAAGCTGTCCCAGATGAACTTAAAAAAGCGGCCCCACACGTGTGTCTGTCCTCCCTACCTTCGCCTGAACCTCTGCCCCTGCTCTGATCAAATCTTCCATGATTTCCACATGGTTATTCTCTGCTGCCCTCATTAAGGGTGTGTAGAAATCTTTGTCTGACACATTGGGACTGGCCCCAGCCTGGAAACATTTGTGATTTGACTGTGATTTGGATGAAAAAAAATTCAAACAGAGTTCTTTGACTCTGACATTGTAGCATGTTCTTAAGAGATCTTACTTTTCTGTTTTCTTCTTTTTCTATGAAAAAGTCAAACAAAGCACTTAAGTTATCAAGCTGTCAAGAGATAGAAGAAATCTAAGTATAAATTTTTCATGACTTGGTAGTAGCACTATGATTTAGTTGGATTTATCTAACTTCTAATGCTTTGCCAACAGCACTGAAAATACTCTCTATAACCCTGTTCTAGGTTGCTAGCAAGTCTGAAGAAGGAAATCAAAGATCAAGAAAAAAACTTTTTTTTTAAAGTTACTTGACCATTAGACTGGTTGCTGCAATAGATACTTGTCAAAAAAGTTTCATTTTTTTTCATTATCCACAAACTTCATATTGCACTAATAGTTTTCTGAGGCCTATTAGTGGAAATAAAAAGTGGGCTGTAAAGTTTTAGGGTTCACACAGTTGTTGTTCATCATACCTGCAGTAATAAGTACACCATGAGTCTCTGCCCGCTTTCAGCTGCTACATGGAGTACTGTCTGCCCATTGTTTTCTTCAAACTTTTCATTGGGCTCAGCTCCATCGGCTGAAAAATTTCAAATAGATGAATAACTTTTGAAAATAATGGCATTTCATAAATTCTTTTATCATAAATAGTTTTGTAATCTGGTGCAGCATTACTTTTCATGTGGGAAATTCAATGAAAAAATTAAATTTTTGTTATTTGTAAAAAAATAAAGTATAAAACTGAGAGTTTTTTCTTTAAAAAAATCTCCAACATAATTATTTGTGCTTATTTCCCAGAAGTGTTTTCTATATATTAACATGCAAAAACCATAAAATTTCATCATGAAACCAATGAACTCTAACATTAAAAGATATAAAATAACTTTTTATTAAAATAAATAAATAAATAAATAAATAAACACTCACCGAGCATAAAAAGAACTTTCTCAGTTTCTTGAGCTTTGACTGGGATGTAGATATTCTTAGGCAAGGCACGATATTTTTTGGGTCTGAAAACAATTCCAACTTTCATTAACCCTATTTATTCAGATTGGGGTCATTAACGACCCTAGGCATATTATCTATTAGCGTAAATTTTTTTAAATGCATTATTTTTTCATGAAATTTCAGGGCCCTGGAGTTTTGAAAACTTGATCTTGAAATTGATATGAGTGCTCCAAACTTCTGATAAGACATTACCTTTCCATCTCCAGCAGTTCCACCAATCTTTTGATATCTCCTTTAAATGCACCTGGTCTCATACCAGCTAAAAAGGAATGGCCAAAGACAGATATTATATATACAATATAATACACTATTTTACACATTTCCAATACAATAAAAAGAATAAAGAGTTCATTTAAGCAGTGATTCACATTCATCTTAATGCTGTATATAATACAGATAACAAAACAAAATTCTAAAACATATCACTAGAAATTACTTACTAATGTATAAACAGAAGATAGTGAAGACATAAACTAAATGTTCAAGGTGAATTACTTCCTTTTAGAATAGACCAAAATTAGGCATGCTTTTTGAAAATTAAAATATTCATTAAATGTATCACCATCAATGCCCGTTTTGCATATTACTCATCAGAAATTTTTCCTTATTTCTCGTTCCTTATTGGTCTTATTTCTCGTTCCTTATTGGTTATTTTCAGAAATAATATTAAGATAAGGTGTACCTGTGGACAGTGTTTTCCCAGACTTGAAAGTATGACTGAACACTTCCTCATTTAAGTCCAAACCTTCTGATTTGGCATCTTTCAGTTCACTCCAACTCATACGGGCTTTGCTGAAATACCAAGGCAGACAAAATTGTTAAATATTTCTTCCAGCAATTCGTTTGTAAAACCAGACAACTGAAAGTTGATTCTAGGTTAACTAAAATATGTCATCACTGTGTACACTGTGTCATGTCAAAAGAAGCCCTTTACACCACACAAAAACATTTTCTTTAATGCAAAATGAGTTAATTGTTCAAGCAGTTTATATCTTTATTTCTAAAGAATTATCAGAAATATAATGTTCTGATCATCATCCCAAAATGATATCATGAAATAAGGCATACTGCCGGACAAACAACCGTGCCACCTACCTGGGACTTGGCTTTGTCTTCCGCACCAAATCAGACGAGGTCATCGACACGCTGCTGGGTTCGTTCAGCCTGATGTTCACCTCGCACTGCAAGGACTCTTCTCCGCAATGAGGGCAGTAAAATTTGCTGTCCTTAAACACCTGACACTCCTTGTGGAAGATGTGGATCACAGAGCCTCCTTCCTTTTTACACTGGTAGAACTTGCCCTGTGGAGGGGAAAAATGAAATAGAGGTATTTAAACGGAGTGAAAAGATGATACAAATTGTTAACTAAAACTGTAATCTGTGATGTAATCTTTGGATAATAGAAAAAAATGAAAAAAACGTTTAACAACTGCAGCTTTAATTATTAATTCTAAATTGAAAATTATAACTATGAAATATCTTATCTTTATAAAGAACAAAATGTAAAAACCAATTAGTCAATACCCAGAAATTGCAAACTGCAATTAATAAACTGACATTCAGATTAATGATGAAGTGGATGAGGTATCTCCTTGACACCCCTTGTTTACCTGAGAGCAGTAGATACCACAGCCAGGGCAACACTGATGTAGCTTAAGACGCTTCCTGTGGACCTCACAGACCGCCATGAAGGGGATCTTCACCGCTGGACGCACCAGCATAGAGAGGGAGACACGGTTACAGCAACCAGTGATCTGAAACAGTCAAGTCAAAATGCAAGATGAGGTCAGTATCTCCAAGAAAATACCTTAACACAGAGTGGACATCCAGTGGCCTTAAAGTTGCATGTATTACCATATGAATTCAAGGGCCTAAAAATAACCTTCTCATGCCTTACCTTCCCATCAATGGATTCCAAGGCTTGACAATACACTGTGCGGTTCATGTTGGCAAAGGCCGTGCCATTGATCTTGCAACAACACAAAGGAATGAGGTCACGGTCGTGTGCAGGCAGAATTGGATGTAGCTTCTTTATTGATGGAATCTGAATCAAAGATGAAAAATTATTGAAACGTTTCAGAGAAGTCTGCTGTCATAGAGAAAGTTTTTGTCTAGAAATTTATCAAAGTTTGCTACCAAAGTATCAATATCTCACAACTGCTTCTTTACAGAAATCTGAATCAAGCAGACAAAAATTGAAAATGCCCCAGTGTCTCCATTCACAGACTTAGCAAATGATAAGAAGTGGTCAGTTTAATCAAAATAATCAAATGACAACATAAAGGTGTATGATGCAAAAATAATGGCATAATAGTACACTGCCAACTGATGATAAACAAAGTCAAACAAAGGAGAAAATACTTTGAAATGGCCCTTCATCAAAATATAAAATGACCCTCCACATCTAGAACTGCCCCCAAACACCAAACTCTTCTCCCTACCTTATCAGTAGTAGCAGCAGCAGGGCTGGTGGACCTGATACTATTGTTACTGGATGTGCTGGCCACGCTGGCAGTGTCTGGGGTCTTTGGAGGGGTCACTGGCAGGGGAACACCACCAAACATCTGTGGGGGCAAGGTCTGCTGGGTGGCAGGCTGAAGGTCCGCCAATCAAAATGAATTTAATATACGAAATTTGCTGTAATGGACCCATGTAGGGGTTTAGACATATAATTATTTTAAAGTTATCTAATAGGATCTAACAATAGAGAAAGTCTCTCTCTTTTTGATACAGTGCATGATGTTGTAGACCAGAAAAAGACAATGTGGTCACGTTCATTCAGATGAAGCATGAAACATCTGTATATTCCAAGTTTTTGCTTTGTTTATTCACCTTTACATCCTGCACCACAGGCGACCTCGACGTCACCAGAGCGGCAGAATTGACCTTCCTGGGTTCCGTCAGCAGTGACCTTAGTTTCACCTGCTCCACATTTGTTATACTGCTCACAGTTGTAATAGGTAGTGTTGACACTGGCATCACCTGCATGCCACTCTGGGGCGCCACCGACACCATTGTGGCCAAGATAAGCTGTGGGGGATGTGTAGGAACCGTCACGATGATGTTGGACGGTAAAACTGGAGGCATTTGTGAGGTCTGTGGTAGTGAAACAACAGGAGGGGACTCTGTGGTGGCCGTTCTCTGTCTCTTGGCTGAAAATAAACCAATTTTGTTTATTTTCAAATGAGCAGACTTGAAAAATTGAAATTGGAATCAAACATTGGCACTTAAGAAGTTTATGGCAGTTTACAAAGGTTCCAAATGAAATAAAAACTCTTCCAAATGACATTTCATTTACTTGATCAGAAAAAAACAGTTTCAACCAAAAATGTTTTATCTCTCATGATGTCTTTGTCATCACCATACTTCCTTATAAGTTTCAGAACATTACCAACATACCTCTGTTGGCGTCCACATCAGTGTTGGTGGTGTTGTTTGAGGATACACTGCCCGAATCATCATCTAAAAGAAAACCAGAAAGATAGTGCTTAATTTTTTACATGTAAAAGATTTTGGAGAAATTTTATTCAATTTGGGTATTTTGATTTTTATATTATGCTGTCATTACACCTAAAATATAACAGAGTTGGTGCCCTTTCCAATTCTGCCATAAATTGTATCTTATATAATAAATTTATAAAAAAACTAAAATTCTACTATCTAATTAATATAGAATATAACCATGCATATGGGTTATAGATGACACAATTCAATTTAATAATTTATGCAAGTTTCTGCCATTTTAAGCATGCTGGTAGCAAATAAGTAGAAAACCATGTATTTTCAGTATGCATTGGCAATTGTAAACCTAAATCGCTTGTGACTTCAATGATAAAGCATTTGCTACTGCACTGTTGTTACAAACTGTTCTTGGAGAGTTTGAGGAAGCACAGTTACTTAAAGGGACCCCATTTTAATAGCTAATCTAATTCTTAAATATAATTCACTTCCTACTTTACAAAGCTATTTACTGTTCATAACCAAAGACTTTCATAATAGACTTGCACATCTCCAGAATTTAACTGCTTGACCAGAATAAAATTTAAAATTTAACAAGATTGTTTTTTTAGCAGCCAATTAGACATACTTTCCATAAACATTGAAATACTTACAATGGCACTTACATCTGTGTGCTTGTAAACAACGATTGAAATTCTTCATTGACGCAGATTATATGTTTATAATATGAATTTGCAACACTTTTTCAGTGCTGTTCATGCACCATACCGGTGTTATTATCAAATTCTCTAAATGCAATATAATCCTCAAAACCTATTTTCTTGATTTTTGTATTTTAAATTCCACGTGTAAGAGTCTAATATTATTAAGGGAAGTAAAAAGAAATTCATGAAAAATGCCCTAAGTATTCAAAGGGCGTTTTAAATATAATGACTGACAACTAAACATCCTAAAAATAAACAACTAAACATGCTGAAATAAACATTGACTTATGTTTCATTGGTCCACGATTAGTAACAAACAAAAAGAACACCATTTAAAATTCATTTGTAACAATCACAAGGAAAAACAAAAATATGGGTTTTTTATTCTAGCATAAAAAAAAACAGCTGTGGTGATACTGGTAATAGTTCCCAACACAAGACCAACAAATATGGGAGAACCCAACCATGGTACTACAAAAGTGCTTATTAAAATTTTAATCCACCGATAACTCAATAATTATTTTCAGATTTATAGTTAAATGCATGCACCATCAAACACCCAACTAAGTTTTACATCTAAACCAATGGTTTTCATTTTCAAAACCCACAATTAAATATAACCTTACAAGTATTAAATTATGCAATTTATACTAACTTAACAAACCATAATGATTCATTTACAGAAAATACAAAATACATTAATTGTACATTAAGCAAATATCCATCTCACATTTCAATATGTGATATTCTTTGAAACAAAATTAGAACATATGGAAATGTGAGATGAACTAACAATGTTTTATGATTCGATTCCAATCCAAAATGTGACCACCGTTACTTTCAATTTCTTTAACAATACTTATTAGTATAGACCACAATGTGTAAAAACTAACACCAAATATCAGTTACTCACCCAAAACTTCTGCTTTCCTTTTAAGCCTGGTACTTCTTCTTGAGCAACTATCTGAGGTAGCTGGAATCAAAATCAATTTTTTTTAGAAAATTCAATCAATTTCTCTGAGTGACCTTCGTGTTAACATTTCATTCGAGGTTATTATTCACTATAATCGTTTTTTGCCACTATCATTTTTACCTGAAGGGTTCAAAAATATAGAAACTTTGTACATGTTTAAGACCAAAACGGATTTTATGTGTTCCTAGTTAAATTTTTGGATGTCTTGTTTCAAATTGATCCAAGTGAGAAAATCATTAGGCAGTGACACATTTTGCATGACTTTGAACCACCTTACTTTCACCATAATAGTACTGATTTTATGTAATACAAAAGAAATGAAAAACCAAAGAGATCAATGTGCTATGCATAACTTGACTGTACTTAAAATTACAAGTTTGACATTTACTCAAATTGCCTTGCATTTTTATCATAAAATATTGAAATTTTTTTTTTTGTCAACTCAACATCTCAAAAACTAAAATACTCCTGAAATAAGAAAATACATAAATCCATGTTATTAAAACAAGTTGTATTGATGGTCTATTGTTGGACAAAAAGCAGTTTCATGCTCAAGCATTCCCATGCAGTTCAACACGACAACTAAAACTACGTATGCCGGGTGTACTTTCTGAGTCAACAAGGAAGTCTCAGATCCCATTCTCATAGACACCATTAATCTATGTAGATCTATCCAACTCTGCAGAGACTCCTGCTGAGTGTAATCAGATAAACTGAAGGACAGATCTCTTGTTTCCAACATACTTGTATAATTGTCAGCTTTTCTGTATTCTACTCTATGCCTGGAGGAATGTCATTCAGTTAAAGCTGAATGCACTCAGCAAAAGTCCCAGTGGTTGGTTCTATCTACATGTACCTAGACCAATGGTGTTTATGGGAAGGAGGCCTTAGCTGCAAATAGCTACCATACTTCCTGTTTATTTTCAGGTTTATTTGAAGACATTTACTCTGCTGCTTTCGATGACACATCTCAACTTCATGCAGCTAAAATCTGTAACTTCTCGTTACGTAAACCAGGCATTACTCAGATTCACATCGAACTTTCATCAGGATACCTTAAAAGTTTTCATAACCTCAGTTTTGCAAATGTGTCAGACTGACTGGTAGATGTAATGTTGGAAGGTATTTTACTTTTTATATTATTAATACTGAGCAAAAATTAGATGTGAATTTCAAAAAGGCATAGTTAACGTAGTTCTTTTGGTAGAACTTACTCCAGAAGTAACATTACAGATCTGTGGCCCATATTCTGAAGTTTTACTACAAATTAATAGCTTCAGAAAGAATTATTCCCTTCCTCATTGCAGATAAGCAGAGAACCCCTTTAAAATATAAAAAAATCCTCATCTCAAACCAAAACTTCTTATTAGTATAGGAGCATTACTCTGAAGCAAGATGATATTTATAAAATTTCTCTGTCCATGCCTTTGATATATACAAAGCTTTAGTCAAAATAACCAAGCAATAGAGAAATTCTAATGAAATAATATTTTTAATATGTATATATGCTGTAAAATAAAGGAAAAACTAAGTCCCCATGGTCCCGAGTTAGAGCAGTAAGCACTGAATCAATCATGCTTGTCATATTCATACATGCTTTTTTTATATACCTCCTTCTTCAAGTTCCTCATCTGTGTCACAGTTAGAGGTATATTGTTGTAAGTCTTTAATTTCAACATCTGTGTCATCATCATTATCATTGCCCTCTTTACTGTCAATATATGTGTGTTCAGATTTGATGATTTCTTCTTTCTCTGGTCCGATCTCTGTTTTAGATGTTTCTGCTATAAATTCAAAACAATTCTCTAGCTGCAATGTGCTTCTTAATGACATTGTCAACTGTCATTCAAGAATTTCACACGTTAATTTTTTATAAGCAGCTTAGCAACAATTACCTCAGCATGCTAGCTTAATCCTCTTTCCAAATGTCATTGAATTTGAAATCAAAAAGGTGCTAAGCTTTACAATGGGCACTTCAAACCAAATTACTTTCCGGTTAAATGGCTCACTTTTCTACGAAAAACCCAAGGTCTTTTTGATGATTACCAATTTGTCATTTAACTATTCAACATTTTCATGTCTTCTGTCTTTTACTGATTTCTTTTATCTTGGTTTATCATGAAGCAAAATCTCTAACAATATATTTATTTAACCTGCATTTCAAATTATTTCCCACTTAAAAAAAACCTTTGCTGATGTTTTTGATTATTCATGAAGTAATCAGCATCTGTTAAAAGCTCTGTTGAATTTTCTACATCTTTTCTTAAATCAGAATCAAAATGGTGGTTAATCTATGTTAGATATTCAAAACTGTATAACATCAGAATTTAGTAGAAAAGATACATTTCCCCCACACACGCAAAACTAAAAATACATATATCCAGTCAACTTTGTCATTAACTAGTATTAGCATGTTTTTTGTTATCCATACTAAGACTTCACTCACCATCTTCTTCCTCAGTACCATCTGCTTTGTCTGAAATGCAGCACACAAAAACACAAAGCCATGACATACCACCAAAAAACATTCCAGATATACAATGAGCAGCATAACCAAAATTGGATTACAATATGTGAAACACTACAAGCACATTGAGAACTGAATTTAAGACCCAACAATTCTTTCAGAAAAAAAATCCATAAATCTAATGAAATTTATGACAACAAAATTTTGGGGTTGACTTTGTCCAGTTTTGAATGTGTGAAATTTTTTTTTATGTTGTTAAAATTGCACTTCACTACATTTTAAGTGACAGCAATAAATTCTGTGTTTTAACAGTGTGTGTGTGTGGGGGGGGGGGGCAAACTGGCACATTTTCCTTTTGAAAAATCATGTCAACAAAATTCATGATAGTTTGCCATAAAAAATGAATGCAATTAAGCTTTTCAGCAAAATCAATATCTTTTATGCAACAATTTCAAATGCTAGTGCAATTCAGTTATACCTAGTGGAAAAAAAAAACAAAACTGTGAGGTGCATGCACGCAGGCTAACACTTAAATCTAGCCAAGAAAAAAAAAGGCACATTCAAAACTGTAATGTTAACTAGTACCTTTGCCTGATGTGTCTTGCGGACTTTCAGCTTCTGCCTTTGTGCTTTTAACAATGAGATCCAATGTTGGCTTAGGGAGATCTGGTACAATTTTTTCTTCCTGAAACATTCGGTGAATATATAAGTGAATATGTAGGTCACGCTTGCTGCAATTTCTTTTTCCTAAAAAAATTTAAAGATATTAAGTATTGTAAAATACTAATACAGTTTAAATGACTCAATTATAAGTACCACAATTTCATATTCTCACTTTAGAAATTGTTGTAATTTTATTTCATTAAAATATAACATTTATAGTACTGCATTATTTACATTATACATGTAACATGATATGTAATGCAAAAAGGAATGAGCATAAATATAGATGTAGATATCAATTTCCGAGGTTCTTTAAATGAAAACATATCACAGCAATCAAGTAATTTTTCAACACACACGCACCTATGAATGAACACACACACACACACTCATTCAGTTTCTGATTTACCTTTGGAGTTTGAGACTGCGCAGTTTCTGTATTAGAACCTCCATCATCTATCAACATTTTAGCAATAGTCGCTGGTTTCAAAACCCTTATTTTGGTAGCATTTCCAGAATTAATCCACTCATCTAACGTCGTATTGCCTTTTGCCTTTGCTGCCTCTCTTCTTTTTTCTAACTCCTCTGCTTCCTTTGCTGTTATTTCGGTTTTACTCCATTTAGTTTCAGGTTTATCATTTTTCTCTAGGGACGAGTTAAAATTTATCAAGGTTTCTGACTTTATAATATTTTCCTCTCTCCTAGTACCATCAGTTGACACTCGATCCTTTTCGCTCTCTTCCTTACTTTCTCTTCCCCTACTTCTACTTCTTGTTCTTTCACGCAAGTTGACATCCTGCCCTTTGTCGCTGTCATCATGGTCTCCCACGTGCTCATCTTTTTCTTCTTGAACTTCTACTATTTTTTTCCTAGGAACTCCTTTCGGCCAGCCTCTTCCTCTTTTCTTTCTACGTAAAGGACTCTTCATTTCCTCATTGTCGCTGACATTAGTTTGTGCTCTTCCACCAAGTAAAGCCCTCCCCCCTCTCCTCCCCTTGCTCCTTAACTGAAATTTGGCCCTCTCCTGGGGGGTGAGCCTTTGAAGTCTGTACCGCAGATTGGACAAGGGCCATTCAGACCACTTGCTGGACTCCTGTTTGTCAACTGGACTCGGGCTGACAACATCTACCCCCGATTCTGGACCAGATGGCAGTCCTGAATTGGTACTCAATACTGTATTACCTGGTGATGCATTGGCCGAGATGTGCTGTGGGGATATGCCAGCCGACACAGGCTTTTTTAGAAGTTCAACTATAGCACTAAAGTTCAATGTATCTTTAGAGGGAACTTGAGTGGAGTTGACCAACGTCTGTTGAGCCAGGCCCAAAGAGGTTTCCCTGTCAACCTCACCATCCTGTTGTTCAGACTCCATTTCTTTCAGTTTTCTCTTTCTTTCAAGTTGTGCAGCTTTACGTTTTCTGGATATAAATAAATCATATGTTCCACCAAACCGGCTCCTTTTTTTCTTCCTCCAGTGGACATCCCTCTTTCTAGCATTCTCTCTCAGAGCAGTTCGCTTTTGTCTTGTCTGTTCAGAAAGTCCACTGCTATCGGAATAGCCATCCACGGACTCATCCATGGACTGTGAATCCACACTTTCAGAGGTTTCTACGAGGTCACTTGGCAACCCAGCGCCAATTGTTTTTGCAATTTCAAAAATGTTACTGTTGTCAGTTTGTGTTTTGCCACTTTCTGGCTCTGTGCTTTTTCTCTGACCACTGCTAGAAACGGATTTGGGTCTTATACCAAGGGCACTTTCAATATCCGGCAGACGCAACTTAACATTAGCTAGGGGAGCAAGATTCACCATGGTGACCTCATCTGCTTTTCTGGAAACAAAACTTTTCTTAGCTTTTTGAGGAAGAGGTTTTTCTCCTGTAAGAACTTTATCAAAAGTGCAGGGAAATGACTTTCTGGCCTTAAAAGATGTGAGTGAGGGCAATGACTTCTTGGCTTTAAAAATCTGAAACTTTTCACTGAAGTTTTGAGTCAAAAGAGAATCATTTTTATCTGTGTCTATTTTGGGTTCATCAATTTTCAAAGGTGCATTCTGAGACAAGTTGGGAGGTTCCTGTGCTGAAAGCAAAGGCTCCGCCTCATTAGTCGTAGAATCTGGCTCAATCAAAGGCTCAGATGGAGCTTCCTCTCCATGTAAAAGTTCATCAATTTGGTCCAGTGATTCGTGAGTTTTTGGTAGCTGCTTATTATGACTAGAATCGCTGATAGATTTTCGAGCAGAAACTCTTCGCGCAACAAACCCAGACCCTTCCCCCCTGGCTGCAGCGGCTTGTCTTTCTCGAAAATCAGAGATGGCAGTCTTAGTTGGTGAGGCAACGCTCATTTTTGCGCGAGGTCCCCTCCTTCTGGCCATCACACTTGGAGCAGTAGTAGCAGATGTAGTATCTACAGACACACTACTTATTTCTGTCGTCTTGTTTTCTTTCTCTTGGACTTGCTTATCTGGACCATTGGTCCAATTTTCCTTGCTGTTGACTTTCATATTTTCTGTGACTGTTTTGTCTGTGCTGGTTTCAGAGTCTGGCTTAAGATCCTTTTCATTGTTTTTCTCTTTCTCCAGTTGTTTTTGTCTGGTTTCCATGGTGATGGTGTCTGCACTCCCCAGCAAAGCCTCCTTCATTCTGAGCCTACTACAGAGGACCAGGGAGGAACAGCTCGTCTCACTGAAAAATAAAAAATAAAAAAAAAATTACGTTTAAAACAGCAAAAGTTTTCAAAATCCAGCTGTGGACTTATTAGTAAAAATTCTGAAGTAGCAACAGCTAGGCTATATTATATATGTAAGCTTGAAATTTACTGATGTTATTGTTTAAAAGATAAACTGACTGCCACTGCCTTCTATGAAACATAACTGATAAGACATAAAAGTCTGTACATAATGTTAATTCACCACAAAACAAATCTAGATAGAAATGTATCAGCCAGATTAAAATTCCTGTAGAACCCCTCCAAAAACTATCACCCAAATTTTGCTATTTGAAGCTTGTTGTGTTTTTATATTTCATATACATTCATATGAGAGGTAGGAGCAGTGTGATGTGTTTTATCATTATGAATAAATATGGCAACACCCCAAATGTCACTGAAATCCAAAAGCCCAAATAAGTCACCATATGCATCTAGACATGAAATTACTAAAGCAATGGAGTATTTTGTATTTTTTTCCAGTTTTTTTGGTGATTGTTGATATATGCTATTTCATATTTCTTTTTTAATATGAAATAGTAGTTCTTTTTGATGATGGTAGAGGATACAAAATGTCACAGGTATATGAAAGTTATTCCCTCATAGTAATGCCGAAACCAAAACTCCATTTTTTCAGGTCATTGCAAGTGTACTGATTTGCCACTTATCAAAACACAAAGAGAGCAAAATACATGTATGAGATGAAAAGAAAAAATAATTACGCTTTCAGTTTTACTCATTTGTAAACATCTTTGTTTACGCAACTAACACAACATGCTGTTGTGCCAGTAATTAATCATAAGATAACTGGCAGGTAGACCATAAACTACTGAATAGAATTTGAATTTCACAACAATTGAAATGCAATCATGTCCTTTAATGCAAGATGATAATTTATTTATATAAATGCACAATAGGTATGGTGCTCTCTCTACGTCAGATTTCTCACATGGGTCACAAAATAATAACATGAAAGCTGGAAAGATTTCAAGGTGTTAGGTTCAGTTAAAACACTTTGGGTCTTGCTTTTCATGCAAATAATAAATGGGTTGGAAATTTAATAAATATTTCCACTTTCTTTCACATTTGGCAAAATTTTGGTTGTCTAAATGTTTTTAAATACTGTTGCAATTTGTGTAGGGATTAGTAAGTACTTATTTTTTAAGAATACCTTAGTCTAAATCTTTTCCTATAGTGATGTTTTATAATTTTCATAAAAAACATATATGAAAAATTACGAAAGGGAAAATATAATGCTAATTATGCACCAATTATAAATATGGCAAAAAGAGGTAAAACTGTACAACACAGATGAACTGAAGGAAAAGAATCATGCAAAATGACCCTGCTGAAATGGCATTGTGTAGCTTTGGGGAAATTACCCAACAAGGAAATTTGGAAAGATATACAAGTGAACATTTTGAACAAAGATTTCAAATTTGAGGTAACTACATGGCTTGTTAAGGGCATAAAATTGCTCACCCATTACTAAGATAACATTTAAGGCTTTAAAATAAGTGTACCAATTGTACTGTTCTTATATGGTGTGATTTAAGGCAACAATAAAGGGCCCCCAAACCAAACAGTGGCTTATAACCAAGTACAGAATTTTGTCTATGTCCTACAAAAATGAAATATAATGAAAATGAAATTAGTTTGTGGACACAAAGGACTTGTGAATAGGTGCCATACACCTCTTCAATCAATGACCTAATTTTACTGAAAGGTTTTTCAATGACATATATGGCAACCACATAGTTTTATATACTAATACAATATCAAGATAAAATATAAATAAGATAAATAACCTGAATTGTCTGTGTCATATAAATGGTGCTCTATGGTCATTACCAAACACTGTAATTTGGGAGGGTTCTATTCTGTCTGGGCAAAAAAGGTTCAGACCTACTTCATGAATATTAATGAAGTGACATCAGCAATGGGGAGTGATCTCAGCCCTTAGCACAGCCACATTCCTCTCAATATCTTTCACAGGATCATGTGACCATCTGGTGATCATTAACAAGAAGCCTATGGAACCTTGAAGAGGTGTCCCTTGAATACTCCACCCACTTCTTTACTTGATTTTCTCTTTATATCTGGTTTAGATTTATACCTATATTAATACTTAGTCAGAATATATTTTTCAATGAACCTGCTCATTTTGAAACAAAGGAAATTCTAAGTGTTGCCAATACAAGTACCAAAATGTTCCTTTCTTGCAAATGCATCATTAAAATGCACATTGTACTTCATCTCCATAACTGTCATCTAAATGTTTAAGACACAGGAATGAATTGCAAGTGACAAAATTCAAACAAAGTCTACCATACAAAGGCATCAGTTCGTAATGTGTGATGTGGCACAGGCACTCTTGGCACTAATACGTTTGGCAGAAACCACATTACCCAACTTTTTCTAAAACATTATTGATGAGAAGTGGTATCAGGTTTACCATGGTATATGGATTCATATAGTTCCCTATCTATGTAATTGTTTTAATCATGGTTAGTGTCTTTGTTATTGCCAAAGGATTGTTTGCCATAATCAATGTTCTTATAGTTTAAATGATCAAAGTACCTTTTCTTAATAAAACTTAATAATTCTCATATGCATAAGCTGGATCTTTTATGTACGTGTTAGCTTAGTTTTACCACATCATACTCTTTTATCAAATTTAAAAAAAACTAAAATTCAGTAGTAATGAAAATCAATTTCATACACATAGTTTTATTTAATTTTCATGCATTCAGTCTTATTCATTTCATATACGATAATTTCCTAATCTTCAATGGGGAAAATTGTGCATTTTACAGTTTCTGCTGACTTTTTTCAATTCATAAATTCTTAAAAATAAGAACGTTCATATTGAACAGAAGCAAGAATATCGAAAAGCAGGCTACCATATAGTTTTATTCCATAAGAGCACCAAAAATGCAACACAAAAATATATTTTTAATGATTCTAAAATAATAAATCTGAAAGACTGATGATTTCTCTTCATAGAAAAGATAGAGTTGCTGCAGTATTTTTCACTTTCAGTCTGATATTGGCATACTGCTGCATGTGTGAACAAGGAGGGGGGGGGGGAGGGGAAGATAAAGGCAGCTATGAAATCCTGATCCATTATGTACTTTTTTATCTTTATTCTATCAGGAGTGCTGATATTGAAGCCACTTTCTGTTCTTGATCAAGCTCAAATTACAGACCAGTACTATGTAGCACAATGGTGATCTTACTGTGCACATTTCTACTACAGCTTAAGTTCCATCCCTTGTCTAACAGATTATGTTGATTTACATCAGCAAAAAAAGTTATTAATAAATTTCAAATGTTAAACACAGTTAGAGCTCTTAGTGAATTTGGGCAAATAAAAAAATTACTTAATTAAAAAAATTTAAAAAAAATAAAAAAACTTGGTCTACTTGGTCTCTACAGGTGGTTCAATCCATACTAATGGAACCAAATAGTACATACACTGCTAATAGGAATTATGTTGGTACATTCTTTTGATCATACCTTACATGTACTTCTACCCTAATCTATGACCTGGATAATGTCACAGGGTTACTGAAATGGGCAGATTTCTGACAGTTGGGCTTTTGCAAGTTGAAATTGACAACAATCTGGTGACTTGTATCTGAGATTCAAAATAAATGAATGAATCCTAGCTTGTATATACTTGTATATATATATTTCAAACAGGCTAATACCTTAAGTTGTATTTATGTTTAAAAATACCGAAAATCAAGAGCATGGAGACCATTGTATTTGCAAAAATGTAGGACAAATTTTGTATTTAGGGAAACTTAAAATTTTATCATCAAAAAGTTTACCATATGTCTTGAGTGCATGGAAAGGACAAGGCTAACATTGGGTATCAAAGGAAACGCATGATAAGCACTATCAAAAATGTTTTAAAGATTATACAAATGAAGCAAAAGTAAATTCCTTATAATGTATATAAATTATTGGTGCCATTTTCTTATACAACACAAATAAAATCCATAGCCCCCTCCCCCCCCCTCAAAAAAAGAAGTATATAAATTATCGGTGCCATTTTCTTATACAACACAAATAAAATCCATAGCCCCCCACCCCCCAAAAAAAAGAAATATCACACAAGTAAAATCCATATGCCTCATCCCCCCTCAAAAAAAAAAAAAAAAAATATATATATATATATATATATATATATATATATATATATATATTTCAGGTTACATCATGTTCACGTATCCTTTGAAATTTAATAAAATAAGATGAGTTAATAGGAAGATATGTAATTATTATAATTTGTATTGCTTAGAAGTACAGCACATATACAGGGTGGGGGTTAACTTTTGTTCACTGAATATTACATTGCATAATTGTGTAATCAATTGAATATATTCTTCCTAAAGAAATTACAGATATATTTTGTGATGAAGATGGAACAAGGGAATTTGCAAAAATTCTTCAGTGTCCAGCCTGTAAGTAAAAGTAGTAATTCCCTTAACTTAAGTATAATGTCAAATTGAATGAACAATTATTGCAGTCTAGAATAATCATNCCCCCCAAAAAAAAGAAATATCACACAAGTAAAATCCATATGCCTCATCCCCCCTCAAAAAAAAAAAAAAAAAATATATATATATATATATATATATATATATATATATATATATATTTCAGGCAGAAGTTTAAAGCTTTCAAGCAACATCTTCAAATTTTTGGTTCATAACTTGACCTACATTTATCTCCATTCTGTTTACAAAGCACTCAAAATAAGCAGGATGTATATGTACAGATATCATTTTCCAGGTAATACTGTAACGAAACTCTATGATATTTCTTTAAGTTATACTGTTTGAAACATAAATGGCCTTTGGCCAGGTTTCATGACATCAAATGAACGTGCTCGCCTAATATGCCTCTTAAAAAAGTAAATCACACCAAGCAAGAGACTGATGATTTTGAGTTTAAAAAAACAAAGTTGCGGGGACATCTCATACAGACTGTTTAAGGACTGGCCAATTAGGTAACATAAAGCTTTTTAAACATCAAAATTCTAAATCCAAGCTTAATTTTTTCATGCTAGCTTGAACACATGGGGGTTAAGCACAGGGCGGTGGTACATACAGGAATAAAGCTCATTAATAAATAGCCAATGTTTTTTAAATATTCATTTTTTTATTATCTGTTCATTTTATTGCGTGAGTGCGTGCATGTGTGACTGGGGGTGGGGGGCGGGGGGGGGGGCGAGGGCAAGGGGGGNTTTTTTATTATCTGTTCATTTTGTGTGCGTGAGTGCGTGCATGTGTGACTGGGGGGTGGGGGTCAGGGGGGTGGCGGGGGCGAGGGGAGGGGGGGGTAGATAGAGGGTGAAGTATTCTCAAAAGATCATTCAACTGTATCTTAACTTTGCTTATTGGTTTTTTGCTGGTTTAAACATTTCTCCGGTTTTCAAATATAGTTATATAAGCAAATATTTATAAATACAAAAGTAAATGTTTTGAACATAAATGACATCAGTTTTTATTTTGCAAGATAATATAAAAGTGAAGGACTGAACATCGATTTGTGGACTACCCATCTATATTCCAAATACAGCATTAATGTGAAATAAATGTAAATATTTAGTGAAATGAGTCATGAACAACTGAGAACTCTCATTGAATAAAATACAAATTAAAAAAAAAACATTCCTAAAGCAAATATAAACAACAGATATCAAAGGGCTATGGTAAATTTTTGTTTTTTAATATGTGAATATCATAATCAATTGAAATAAAGGATCAAATGCCATTATTTGTTAGTCATACCTACCCTGGTCCACCTCACTTTCTACTACTTGAAAAACATGGCTGCACTTTGTACATCTAAGAAACGTCAAAAGCAATGTTGACATTGCCCAAAACGCCACTTTACGTATCCCAGTGCTATCAGTTATGGTAAAATATCATGCAAAAATACCATCAAAGTGACCAAAGAAGTACATGACAAAATTTGGTCACAATTGACAGACTTCATCTCATCATCTGTTGACTTGAAAAAGTAGGTCATCCGCATTGAGGGGCAAATTAAAATGGGTCAAATACTTGTTTCAACATACCTGACCAATTATATACACGTCTGGTAGGCTGTGAGGTTGATATATGTAACTGCAACGTTTCATTACATCAGCGTCTACAAAAGATAATTAAAAGCCTCGCTAAATCGGCTGTCAAGAAGTGTCGTGCAAAGGTCACACGGTTCCGAAAACCACTTGCTGAACAATGCTTTTCGAATGAGCAAAAAGGATGGCGATAATAAAAATCCAAATTGCTCAAGAAATTCGGACCCGATTTATATACTACTAAACTTAGTTTAATTAACATCAATTTAGGTTGTATAAAAGCATCTCTTGAACTGATCGAGTTCCTAGTTATTGTTATATCTTGGAATATATTTGGCTTCTTCGGTACTCACCCTGGATTCCGCCATGTTTAAAATCTTCGCGGTACGCATGCGCGAAGTGACTGAACCTCCCACGAAGACTTTCGCGCGCTTTTCCTTTAACTTTATTCATGCGTTTGTTTACATCGACTCGGATCGATGACAAGGCTAGTAGACGGAAGTAATGTTCCTTGCGACACTTGAAAGCTGCATATAACCTTCGTTACTATGCACAAAATCATGTTGCTAGGGTAAGGTGACCAGCTCTTCTCGCACCTGCCTTCCACCCCTGCAAAATATTTTGTGTAAACAATCATTCTGTAAAGCAATTTCCATATATGCCCATGTCGCTTACCAAGCTGCTTAACTATAAACATTTACATTGCAGTATTATTTTTTAACTAGGTCAGGCCCGCGATGCAAATAAATCAATTAAAGAAACAGAGACCGGTCTGAAAACCAACAAGGCTAATTTTATAAACGTTGATTAATTGTGTATCTCCCGTGCAATCTAAAAACATGTTTGGTTGCCACCAGGAGCAAAATGACCAGAAACCTCAGCCTTTTATCAATATCTCATTTGAAAGTGATACAACTTTTGTTGTCTTCTGTGTCCCCATATCCCGTGTAATGCGTGTTATCTTTTTCATTGGTTGCCATAGGGTAATTAGGAAGGATATGTTCCAGATCTCTATTATTAGGCCTATAGTACCTTGCTCACGCAGCATGTCCCGTATATCTAGCCGACAGGATATTCAAGCAAAACGTCCCTTTTATTTGTCGCTTTCAATAAGTAGACAGCTTGATTATGTTGTGCGAGTTGTTGGCCTATTGAAACTACAAATAAACAGCACATGCAGGTTTAAGTACACAAGCATTAATGGCAGATGTCATTTCAGCGCGTCTAAAGTCCTAGACAGAACTGACATTTGTCAATCACATACATGCATGTGGCACGGGTGGCACATATTTATCAGTTCCAGCACACGTTCAAATGATTCACTGCTTGCATGGCATATTAAAGTAATTTAATCAAATAAACGTCTTTAGCCATTCTGTAGGTACCAGGATTGCACTTTAATGCGACCTTTCCTTATATAGTTGCCCACTTTATACAGAACTGAATGACGTACTGTTACAGAAATGTTGGTTAAACGTAAATTCAACACGGCTGCGATATGCATTATTGAACGCTACATATACCAATTAAGTTACATATACTAATATACATTTAACAATACGCACATCGATGCACATTTTTTTATAGAATGCCTCATTGAAAGTATACACAGTGAGCATTTAGCTGAGTCAGTTTTCTTTGTCCCGAGACTCCAGTTAATAGACCATTAAATGTGACTTAAATCAGCGGGAGTAAATCGGCCATCATGTCAAAAAAAATCTAACAATTATGTGAAGGCTACTCCGAGCACAGAGATGTAACCTACACAGTATATTCAACGTATTTGTGATGAACTGAATATTATGTAGGTCACATTTTCAGGGAGTCGTGTCGTCTTCCGGGATGCGAGACACCTCCCTGAATCCTATTAGTCGGTGTTAGGTCATCCTCAGAAGTGGAATGTTGCACTGCTCTTAGGCTAGCACATTGCGTCACTGAATCTTTTATGATTTCTACGAGATCGGTGTCTATGGTAACGACTGAATACATGTATATATTTATGTGTAGAGTTTATAGATGTCACATTCCAAACAGTCACAACCATGCCGTTAAGCGTTTACGAGTACATGGCACACGATCCCTTCTCATTTATGCAATCCGTATCCATGCGTTCTAGGCTTGTCCAGTCAATTGCATTAGAAAATTGTTAAATTTTCTTTATTTTATTTTATTTTATTTTTTTTTTGGCGTAAATCATCAAAAAAATTTTTTAGAATATATGAAGAAGATAACACCTCAAAGGTATATTACACACGTTTTATCCAAAGAAAGCATGACCTATGATTAACAATTGCAAAGAATCCCTGCAACTGCTCACTCGACTTAATCCAAGCAAAAATAAAATGCGTAAAACGTGTGCAGTGTATTGAGTTTGTATTCCTTTAATTTGAAATTCGATGAAACTCGACAAAATAATGGCAGGTAAAGACAAAATATACGTTGTTACTGCCAGGAAAATTCTCTGTGCTTAATTTCTTTCCCAAGGTCTACCGTTTAAATTAACTGGTGCAGGGTACGTGCAACAGAGAATCCGCCCTCCATTAGATTCGTAAAAGTTAGGAGAAGCGTGATGCAGGAAGGGACTCGAATGTAGAAATAACGTAGAACCGGATTCTCTGTCTTTGGAGACTGTCTGGTACATGACTGGCTATATGCTTTGTATAACGCGATAACCCAATACAGCTGTTACTGGGTGAGACAATTGTGAAGGAAAATTTTCAAAAGTTATGTTAATCTAGAATTTGTTTTAGTCAGGAAACAAACTGGCAGTGAAATTAAGTAGAAACAAACGTAACAACACAGGGGCGTAACCAGACCTTTAAAAATTGTACGCACAGATTTTCAAAATTCCCAGCAAAATGTAGACTAACGCAAGAGATGAAGGACAGCGTAATTACAGCATATGTACCACACATCGCAGCTTAATTTCCATTAATAATAAAATCGTCATTTAGTCAGAAATGTTCTCGCAATTAAAAAAGTTTCAATATTCCTATTACCCAGAACGGTATATTTATTTAAAAGGAGGATAGCTTCGCATATGTGGAACCCCCTTCGAATAATTCTGGATCCATGCACCTCTGAGTTGAACTAACATACGGTTTCATTCACCTTACATGTGGATGCATGGCTCCCAAAAACAACCAATTGTACGACACGACAGAGCTCTGATACATCTAAGTTTAATCATTTGTTTGTAAAATTGCCCATGTCACCCTGTTAGTTTGGAGGGGTAAGCTGGGTCAAGTCCGTGTCAAAATTCTTTGAAGCTTTGCAGGAAAAATTCTTCCTTTGTTTCTCTAGCTCCTTCTTAAACTTGGTGTCCAGATTTTATCTAGTGCCCCCAGGGTTGCGGGAGCTGCTCTTTTAAAATAACGCTCGGGCAGATTTTTACCTGAGATAAATATCGCCAGATATTCTTAAGAAAGAGGGTACAGAAGAGTTGAGGGCCACTGAACCCTCCAATTAAGAGGTAAAGGAAGTTTCAGTTAGATGGACGATTAAGATAGGACTTGTTAAGGTTACAGGCATTGTTTACCTCAGTTTGCAAGAATTTGCAAGAACAATTGTGCTTATACAATTGATACAGAGGATTTGTACATACAGGTGACTTTAATAAGCAGAGGATTTTCTTTTATATTCCGTGAAAAATACACTAAATTTATATAAAATAATATCATGGTTGGCCAAAAAATTGTACGCACAGTGCATCCGTGCGTATGCCTAGTTACGCCCATGCAACAGAATCAAGTACGCGTAATGGCGGGCTTTGTTTGTCTACCGAAGAGCTGATACGTTGGACGCTGCGGTAACTCAATGTCTAGCTATGGTTGAATAATACAGCCCAGTCATTCTATCTATGCTTGTATTCAAACCGTCGAGACTGATAGATAGTCACATTTGAAAATTCTTGTAATACTTTGCGCGAAACTTTGTTCGAGGATAACAGTCAGCATGCATTATATTGATTAAATACATTTCAATAAATAGTACTTAAATATTAACATGTTATTAATTGCTAATTTAACCAAAATACTGGTAAGTCTTCAAGTTAAATGTTTGAAACGATTCGTCAACAATTCATTTGTTTTTCAGTGATTGAATTAATATACTGTACGTTCAAGTGTTCGTATAACCTTTCAGTAATCAGATAGGAATGAAATGCTTACCATTGCATTTAAACGCAAACGAAAGGAATACATTGTCGCTCAATAAAACAAAATGCCTCTTTACAAGCTTGAGAGATTACTGAGTCGTCAATAATACGTGGCATTCAAGTACGTGATTTTGTATATGATAAATAGTTGCCCGTTTTCTACACTCCCCAATTGACACGAGGAATATTTTCGGGATCTATACCATTTGAATAACGGCGCATGATAATGATCGTTTCGAAAACCATTATATACTCTTTATATACTCCTGGTGTCATTATGAATTGTCAATTTTAGATCTTAAGCATTCTGTCATGCATATACATTGCTTTGTATTCGTAGCATCAGTTGCCGCGGCAAGGGTCTGCTCAACACATTTTCGGTAATACTTGTTCAGTATTAATTGTTTATAGTATCATGTTATCAGGTTCCTATTACCTTTTCTCCTGTCCTTTATAAACCAGGTCGGCTTTACCATTTTCAATACAGACATATACATGGCAACACCCTTTCATAACTATATGATATATATTGATATATGTTTCATATTCATTACTATCGATAGATATGAAACAAACACATCGGTTGACTCCAATGACCGCACAGAACGAGAATGAAAATGTTTGTTAAGAAGCTTATATGCTTTCTTGCATTTGTTAGAAACGCTCAAGGTACTGGTGATTTTTTTCTTTCATATTTTTTTCTGAAAGAGCATGAGACAAAATGTTAGCATGACTTAATTTTTTTATTTCATGAAACTTTTTGGGCTTCAAAGAATGCCAGAAACAGAAATTGAACATGAATATAATTAAGAGAACTATTTCAGAGGGGTCATTCGTTAAATCTTTCAGTTACAGGCTGAAGTCGAAAGAAGTGCGGTTACTTCTGAAAGAGATCTCATTCAAAAGGAAACTTCTTTTTGAAGCAATACACCAGAAACTGATTTCAAACACAGTGAAACACAGTGAACCCAGAAATCGCATCCTTGTTCGGCGACGCAGTACATGGTAGCATTTAAGATATTCAAACCCGTGACATTCAGTAATGGAGTGTAACCAAAAACTGTGCACTCTTCGGGGCTGGCTGTCAAAAGTAATACCAGTAGTAAATGATTAAAGGCTATCAATAAAATACTTTTGACCTGCGATGTTGAATATATTCCTAGTACATGGACAATAAATAAACAATGATCGTCAGTGTGATATCCATGTTATATGACAGCCATCGACGGAGCCCATTAAAAGGTGTCTGCTTAATAATTTTCTCTGCACCATGGATGCTAATGGC